ATATCCACATGCAAAGCATGATGAAGCACACTAAGACCAACCACGGGGACAGCTTCCGGCACTCACACCACAGGGATACGTCTGCCACATGGACAGGAAAGCAAGGGTGAAGGAGGGAGTGAGGGGGAAGAGAGGAGTGTGGCTCAGTTCTGGTTCTGGAACTGATTGGCCAGCCAGTCCAGTCCCTCATAGAGCCCAGCCCCAGTGATGGCAGAGGTGGCCTGAAGGTACCAGTTCCTGTGGTGTAGAGAGTGCAGGCCCAGCTTGTCTGTGATCTCAGCTGTGTTCATAGCATTGGGGAGGTCCTGCTTGTTTGCAAGCACTAGCAAGACAACATCCTTGAGCTCTGTCATCATCCGCATCAACTCCTGTCTGGCCTCGTCCATGCGTTCTTGGTCAGTGCTGTCAACCACAAAGATGAGACCTTCTCCGTCTTTGCAGTATTGGCTCCACAGAGGCCGGATCTTGTCCTGGCTGGCTGCGTCCCACATGACGAAGCTGATATTCTTACACTCCAAAGTCTCCACGTTGAAACCTATTGTGGGAACTGTTTCCACGACCTCATTCAGCTTCAGTTTGTACAAGATGGTGGTCTTCCCAGCACGGTCCAGGCCCACCATGAGAATGCGCATTTCCTTTTTGCCAAAAAGGCCCTTGAAGAGGTTCGCAAAGATATTTCCCATGCTGTAGACCAGAGGGAGAAACAATGGCCAGAGAGACCCTTGGCAGTCACAGTGCTGCTGCTGCTGCTGCTGCTGCTGCTATGAGCCAGGAGCTGGTTCTATTTTGTCACTCTTTAGCAGATATTTGACCCTTATTCTAATTCTTTTCATTGCGGTGACACTTGCACTGTCACTACCAATTAACTCAGTATTTACAGTTCCAAGTCCAGAGAGAGCAAGTGACTGGTGCAGGTTCAATTGGTCTAGATTAGATGATTCGTCACCATCATCCTGGTTCCACAACTGTTTTGTTGACACTCCTCTGGGTGGCACTTGGCTAGGATGAGGAGCCAGGGGACAAGGCACCGATCTATAAGGAGTCATTGAGGATCACTTCAGGGACCACTTCAAGAAGTTGGGCCAGCGCAGTGCCTTGCACAACCTATCTCCCAGGCACAGGGCATCCTTCTTTTTGTCCCTGCAATTCTAGGAATCCAAGGGAAGTGAGAAGGCCTGTGGAAACTCTGGGAATCTCTGGCTTTTCTTGGAAAGTTGGATTTCTCTCAACATGCCCCGTCATCCCTGAAGAAGCAACAATTGTCTGGAGCTGAGTAGAGACTTTTAAAGAGGCCTGTGCTCATCCAGCTCATTTCACTCTTTACTTACCTGACTCTCTAGGCAAATAAGCTTGAAACTCCTCCAGAGATTGGAGGCAGTGGACAAATGGCAACAACT